GTGTTAATGGATTAGTAAATTATTTTTTCATTGTTGAGTGACAAAATACATAAAACTGGTCACTTAGTTACTACTGATGTTCAAGTAATTAACATGAAAAACACGATTCCAAATTACTTGGAAAGAGCTATTAAATGTTGTTTGATCCACAAGTCATTTCCATCATTATTTGCGTGGACAAAAGTTTACACTCTGGACAGATCATGCATCCTAGACGTGGCTAGTGAAGTTTTACAATTAATAAGACCAGATAACAAGATGGCTCCAAAAACTCCAAGAATACGACTTTAACATCATGCATCTCCCTAGACATAACTTTGGAAATGCTTATGCATTTTTTCGAACACCATGTATTGATGATGAACATAAAGACCGTGATTTGAGGGAAGCATGAAATAATAAAGACGACAACCCAAAGTACAAAAGAGTATAATCCAAGATGTCATATCTACAAGTGATGACAAAAAACTAATGTGGTCTAACACTTATCTGAAAGATGCTCAAGCAAAAGGTCCCAGTTTGAAACCAAGAACATGGTGGATCAAGAATAGTGCATAAAAACTCACTTTGAATTTCATGCAAAGGTACTGGAGAGCTGTCTGTGCTAGCTATTTCTAATTTTGAAGTGATAGACTAGAGGAAAGGTAGCTAGTCAACACCAACCCCACCAATTCTTGAGGTACTTCTTTCCAACAAGTTATAATGCCCTCATGGCAGAAAGATCGAGTATGTACAGTGACAGAATTCAAACTCTCAACCTGTAAATTGTAAGTCAAGCACTCTAATCACCAGGCCAATTATTAGTGATGTATTCAGTGAGTGAATCAGTCTAGTGCCAGTCAGCGGGTTATTTATTCTATGATTCAGTTAATAAGCTAAACAATAAGTTACTTAACATGTTTTTTATTAATTGATTAGTGAGAGAAACTATAACATTAATAAGTATGTTTATTTGATTTAGACAAACCATTAGTCTCAAAATTCCTGTTCAAATGTTGATTCCAAAGTTAAGCCTACAAGTGAAAGTAGCCTGCAGTAAACGTTAGGGAGAAATAAACTAACTCATTATCATTGCATGAATTAATTCATAGAATTCAGTACTCTCCACCTCACTATAATAATTTATTAGGGCTGAAGTTTCACGGTATGTTATGTGGTTCACTACATTCCTTTTGCGAGTGCAATAGATTGTTATGTTATTAACAAGATACTTGGCTTCATTAAAAAGTTAGAATAAAAAAATCAACTCAACCTCTGATGGGTTTGACGTTCAGCACGTAATGTAAGGTTAAATGTCATGACCTTTTCTTGGAAAAGGCTGTCTAAATCCAAGTGTAATGCATGTAACTTGCATTATGTCATTCATGGGGAACAGAATTACCACTATGACTCCAAAAAATCCAAGCACTGGTCAATATATAAAGTGATTATAAAGAAAGTTTTGCAGTTAAGCATGTCATATTTCACAAAAGGTGAAGATGAAATTGCAATGGTGTATTAAGGATATTATGCCGATGTTACAATTGTCCCATGCTGCAACTGGGAGTGCCACTATGACCTAATGTTTGCTCAATCACAGCAGCTGTTCAAAATCTACTCCTTCATCATTCATAATGCAACAAGAACAAACATCTCATCTGGTATGCTGGCCACTTCCCAGACAATTGCATTCTTGAGATCTGGAATTATTTGAGGATTCCCATGACATACACTCAAAATCTACTCCTCCAGCATCCAGAATGTATTGCATCTGTGTGACAATGGATACTACAACAACAAACATCTCATCTGGTATGCTGGCTACTTCCCAGACAATTGAATCCTTGAGATCTGGAATTATTTGAGGATTCCCATGGTACCTGTGACCTCAGGTACTCCCTAACCAGAACTCAGCCAATATAAGGTTCAGTGAACAAGGTTGCTATTCACAAGAAAAGTGATATGAAATGATTCTATCCTGAACTTGTGAATGCAAAATGTGTTTCTCCTGGTTCCTAATATGTGGAGGAACACCATCCTACAAGAATACTGTATTGTCTATTACATTTCATTACAGTAGTATAGGGATCACACTGGTTGTAAGGATTGCATGATACAATGTAGCACTGATTGTGTAGGTTTTCAAAAAAGCATGATTTAATAACAAAGTCAGCTGTGAAACCACACCACACTGTTATTTTAGCATCATGAGGTGTGTAGAAAATTTGACATCTGGTTTATTCTGACCAGATATTGCAATTGCTTGTGTTGACACTTCATCTGTTCATAAGTTATTGGCAGGCAAATGGTCATTAACTTCCAGTCTTCTCAAGAACTGCAACACAAAATCTATATTGTCCACTTGTAGTCTTGACTCCTCTGATGGTAATGAAGTTGCAGTGGAGGCCTGAATTCAATGTGACTCACCATGGCCAATTGGGGCTGCACTGCTCTAGGTCAATCCCACAACAGACACAAAAGCTCTCCAATATCTGATGCATTGGCAAACAACTCTGATTCATCCATGGGCTTGGCTATAGTAAGCATCAGGTCAGCACACAGAGTCTAGGATCGACCATGTAATCCACTCCTTCACTACAGAAGAAGTCCTAGGCTTACCAGTTTTCATCAAAATGGTGGCCCATTATGCAAATTTATTATTTGTACATTCTATAAAAAAGTGTCAAAATATTATTCTCAAAATTTTTGATAATCAACATTAGTATAGCAATTTAAAGTAGTCTCTTGTTACTTGTTAAGAGAAATTATCTTTCCAATATATAATGATTTTACACAGATTACTCAAAATTGAATAAGTTTACATTATCACATGAAAAGTTAGTGTTTAATCAACTTGTTCTAGAAATTTGGACAGCCAATTTATATTTATACCTTGTTGCACAATAAAAACATTTGTATTCTTCATAAGTATAGGACAGTGAAATTCAGCTTTTACTGCAAATGTTATGGAATATCAAACCCACTGGAAGTCTAAGCTGTCACTAAATTATACTGATTTATCTTAACAGGGATTGCTTTAAAATTTATGAATTATATTTAAATTCCACAGCACTTTTGCAGCAAATACTATATTACTAAATTTATTGTACAGAGTACCTAGATAAGTGGGATGTGATGTTTCACTACTGGGGACTTTTTCATAGTTTAGACTCTTGTTATTAAATCTTACCACCAACTGTTTGTGCACCTTTGGAACAACAGACCCTAATTTTTGTTGCAGGAGTAGTGATATTTTGGAGTCAATTTAACAAGTGACATTCTAAAATGACACTGGACTAGTCAATGCAGGTTATCTTAAACAACAACACTACATACAACATGGTAAGGCAACAATGTAATTAGTGCACCACTGCCCAGAATGTTACAGTACAGCATAGTGTTAATAAATCAAAACAACCCAGCAAACACAGATCTACCTCATGACATTAATTTCTTTAGCTTTTGCATCCAGACTACAATCAAATCCAGACTGTCCACCTAGTGATTTGACAGTTTCAGTTTCTTTTCTTAGACTGTAGTGTTGAAAGTACTTTAAGAGGAATGGCTTATCAGATACATAAAATCTGGCAACATAGACTGAATGCACTGATATTTAGTCCTAACCTCTCTTTACCACCAAGCACTTTTGTTTCCCAACACCTTTCAAAGTTTGTATGGACTAAGTAATTATCAGTTTTGGGTAGTAAAGCCAATATTTCACATTAGCATGACCCATGTTCTTGCACTACTTCAGACATTACGTTAATATTTTAATTTTATTAATCAATTATGAAAAAAACAAAAAACATAACCTTTACAATCTATTCTATTCCAAGTGTTTGTACCAATAGAAACAAAACTACACAAAGAGTGTACTATTAGAATATTTTCATTAGTATATGTATATGATAGTTTAGAAAACCATTTATACTAACTGTTAGAAACATGTATGTGATACCAATGGTGTGAAAACAACAGCATAACTAAACATTTTCTCTTTTATAAAACTATATTATAATGGGATAGCTTGTTCATTTTAAACCAGATTTTCTTAGGATTTCAATGAGTATACAGATATATCAATGTAACAGAATTATAGTAGATGACAAGTTTCTTTGATTTGTTAGTATAATATACATTTTGTATACAAATTTAAAGAATGAATGAAAGTAAATAATATCATGTTTATTTCTTTAAATATGCAAGAGAAGCACTGTGAAGTAAACAATTTTCAGTTGAGATCTTTTCAAAGTGAAGTTAGGTGGAATGTTACCTCAGATGAGAAGTGTTCAGTTGCTGTTAAATTATATTCAGGTCTTCTTCATACAAGTAGCTCCATTAATACTTTTTAAATTAATATAGAAACATCATAACGTTTTACATTTGGCTCTCTCTTTGCTAAGTGAACTCAATTAATGTGATTTTATTCTTTGCATTCAGAATAGTCTAGTTAAGGAACAGAGTAGTTTCATTATATTTTAAACTTTACGAGCTAAAATGAAGCTTTTCTTATAGAAATCAGGTGATCACAGTAAAGTTTCAACAGGAAGTTACCACATTTAGTTTTTTCTTCAGTTACAGTTACTATGAAAAAACCTATTATTCTAGCCATTATTATGTTTAAAGTTTGAAAAGCTTCATTAAAGTAGTAATATTATTATATCATAATAATTAATATTAAATATTTTAAATGAAAAACCCATAAGTGAGCACAGGCCTTGCTAGGTCCCAGATTCACTTATCAGTTTTTCACATAACATAATTAATATTAGTTAATATTATATTAAAGTAGTTTGTTGAAGAAGAAAAAGTGCATTATGCCCCACAGATGTTTAATCTTCAATACAACAAGAAATTCTTCCTGGTACTAAAATCTTAATGACTATTATGTGGTTCAATCCGTGTATGTGTAACACTGGAAAGTAATACAAGTCTGTTTCCTACTCTCTTCCACTTATTAGATATCCAAAAATGTGTAACGCACAATGTGGGTATTTGGATGTACATACTGCTACAAGATCTCCATCACAATTTCTTTACTATAAAATACTTGAAAGTTGAAGAACTTCCAAGTTAAAAAAAAACTTAAACTTTACAAGCTTTATTCTATGATCATAAACCTAGAGATTTGTATTATTAAAGGCAAAGGTTAAAGTATCTACATGTCTCCTTACAGTTGTTAATATGTTTCATTATTAACCACATTTTACAAATGGATTTGTTTTTGATTGGTCAGAAAATAAAACCTTTCGGCAGTAGATGTGTTATTTAAATTTTTGTAAACAGAAAACATATCTGTTGAGGAAAGGCAGTCAACAAAACATGGAATTTTTTACAGAAAAAAAAGGGATAAAATGTGATTCAAAGAACAAAATGATTTTGCACAACCCACTCAGTTATCTATAACGTTGACTAAATTTGTGACTAGAAAACTTATCAAAACCTTCAATACACATTTGAACAAGCATAAGTAGAAACAAAAGAGCTCAAAACACAGAAATATAATATTGTCCATATACAGTGCCAAAACATTTGGCTAACTTCGAGCATAACGTAATAAAGATGTTCGAGTAGCAACTAAGGTCTTAAATGCTTCCTCACTCCCAGGAGCAACACTCTTATCAGGATGTAGAAGAACAGCAAGTTTTCGATAAGCTCTGTTAATTTCATCCCTAGGAATAAAACAGTAATAATATATACACATGACATAAATAACTTATTCTTTGGATGTAACTCACAGAGCTGGATGATTAATTTGATTAATCAGTTTAATCAATTACCTGAGCATTGATTACACGAATTAATCAGAATTACAATTAAACCATTTAATGTAATGAAAAAAATCATCCAATCAAAATTAGTGTTACTGATTATTTCAGCTATCCAGATGCTTGAAACAATGCTATTATAATTCCTCATTATTATTTTCAATTAGTTTAAAGTTGTTCATCTTAATCAATTAGCATCAAGAAAATAATTATGTAATCAAAATTTGTTTTGGATTATTTCTAATTTTGATTATTCCAATATTCTAAATCTCATGTGAGAATAATATATTAGTTGAATGTAATTGATTAATGAGCACAATGATTAAACAATTAGCAAGTTCCACTAATCACCTAGATCTAGTAACTCATGCTTATATTTTAAGAGCACCACATTATTGTTTCACAAAACTTATGATAATATTGATTCTATGAAATAATACAAACAGTAATTTAAGAAATCAGTCTTTTCCAAAACTCATTAGCAGTTCTGACATAACAATGGACAGCATGAGATTATTCATTTAGAAATATCTTACCTACCTTTGATAATTATCATGGATATTTTTAAACAACAGAAACAGTGATCTTAAACAAAAGCTAAATGTTTTTAAGTAACTGCCATTTGACACTTGGTTTTTAAATCTTTAGGTCAGTGTATCCATAATTTTTACATGACATAGCTGTACTCTCAAGATTTTATCACACTGTTCATTGTTGTTTTTTTTTAATAGCATGCAAAGTTGATGCAGCTATAATTTTGAAAGTTTCTTGTTTTCAAGATTTCTTTCTGTGATAATTACATAAGATAAATATTAGGCTTAAGAATTTTCAAAATGATATTGCATAAATATTGCAAACTCACTTAGTTGCTCCTGGCTGTAGTCCTAATTTGTCATATTCATCAGTTGCCCATCTCAGCTTGTGGACAGCTTCTAATTGTTCTCGGGTATATCCTAGAGTTGAACGAAGAGCCACACGACGGCCATTCCCTTCCAGCATCTCAAGAATGTTCCTAAAGAGAGACTGGTGAAAGACTTTGTTATTATTTGCATTACCTGCAAGTGTTATACAGATACAGAAAAAAAAAGGCCTTTCAAAGACTTATTGTTGAAAAAAATGTAGTGACTATTCAAACTGTTTCAATCATAACTACATATACAGATGTAGCCTACTGATGTATAGGTATAATTTTCATAATGAATCTTTGTGATTGTTAACATTGTTACTCAACAAACAAAAAAAAACTATCAATGATAAAAAAAAGGCCATAATTTCTGAATCATATTCTAAAGAACTACAGTTTAAACCCACGAATATAAAGATCACATTTTTTATACCTATTATAAATAAATGATCTGATACAGATTAAAAAGAAGTTAATCACTGAACAATAAATTTTGACTGCACTTGTAAAAAACATTGCTTGTTTTTGTTACACTTATAAGGCTTAGTCACTACTAAGGACAACAAAACTACTGAATAAATCCCTAAACTTTGTGAACTACAAAAATATATGTATTATATTTTCAATTTAATTTATAAAAATCTTGATATCTGTCATATGTCACTAATTGTATAATAGAATTTATTTTATAATCACAATTTGTGAAATTTAGTCATTAGCTTTCTGGCTAAATGACTAGTATGTACAGAGGTTGACTCTTTTAATCACAGCTAATATTCCTAAAAGAGACCTGTCAAGTACAGCCAAAAATAATTACTAGTACACCATTGCAAGGAGTGATTCATACTTCAGTTTATCCTTCATGGAAACAGTATTGATTAGAAAACCATAAATTTCAGGAAAACATCATACATTTTTATAGGAAAGAATGAATTTCAAATACCGATGCTTGTAATGTCAGATAAATAGCATAGCAATTTCTCAGACTTTGATACTAATAAAAATAAAACACCTTGTAAAATTAAACAACTTACTACTGGTCCATCTTCCAATAAACTAACATCGGAGAACATGTTGAAATTTTAAGCATTCCACATAGTTCCTGTTTATATTGTTTGCAAACAAAGGCAAATGGTTTTGAGAGCTAGCTTGTCAAGCTATCACAAATATGTTGGCCAATATTATGAACAATGGGGTTATTTAAAATGAACAAAACTCTACTGTTATTGCAATCTTTGAGACAACTAAAGCTACATTCTATGCACCAAAATCTGTTTGCTTATCAATAATTATGGATACATGTTTGAATTAACAATATCTACAGTTAACACTGCTGCTGGCCTACATCTTCATCTTCTGCTATCTGGCCAACTAGTGCTACAACATTTACATTTTCCTTCAAAACTGTCATCATATGCATAGTGTTCAACTACTATATTCACCATCAGTTGTAACAGTAGCAAACATGTAAGTTTACCAGAATGTGGTCATCTTTCTGATCTGAATAATAATGCTTGTAAAACCAAATTTCCTTATACCTCAAACATATCAGCCACTCCATCTCCTGTTAAAGCAGATGTTTCAAAGTATGGGAACCCATGAAGTTCAGACCATAGTCTGCCATCAGCTTCATCAACCACTCGCTGTTTGTCACACTATTACAAATAAAAGAATATATGACATAACAGTAGTGTTTGGGATCACTATATTCAATACTTAACTGAACATTGAACTTAACATATGGAAATAAATGTAGTTTTGTTTTTACCTCTTTTACATGTTATTATTTTCTACAAATAAAAGATTGTCTGAGAAAAATATTAAGAATTTGTTTCAAGGTATTCACTGCCACTTACAATTGCTATACCAATTCAGATAATCTCTAACAAAAACATTATCTGTCACTTAAAAACAATATAAAAAAATTATACAATAGGAAATACAAAACGTTTTATAAAATTTTAATGAATGTGCAGTATAAGATGTTCTATGTCAGAGAAACAGATTTGTATCTAGATTTGTTTTAAGAAACAGACTATATATCTGCTAGTGAATTTGACAAGATTGAGAATTTCTGTAACTCTCACCCTTACCTTGTTCCCACAAACAACACATACTATATTTTCAATAGCAGACTGCTCTCCCAACTCACGAATCATTTCTTCAAGCCAAGTGTTTAAAGCCTGAAAACTGGAACGATCACTGACATCATATGTTAGTATGGCACCATGTACATCCCGATAGAACTCATTCCTTACCTGATGATCAAACATTATTACTTTCAGCTCAATAAACTGTCCATATTTAAAGTCAACATATATATATACTAAGAAGAGACTGAACAAAGAAACTTAGTGGCATGGAAAATAAAAAGTGCATGTAATGCTGTTTTAATTCAATTATTATTTTTAAATTATCATGATGATTCTTTCAAACTTTTAACACGGCCACTTATAAAGTAAACAAGTGTAAAGACTGTATGAAATGTTACTTCCAGTTGATATAATAATTAAAATTAAAAGACAAGAAAAAATCAAGGTTTTTCTTTCTAATTTGGCTATAATGTTTTAAAAACAGCAACATATGTAGTTTTAAAGAAAATAACCCTCTCTTCTTACGAGTATCCTTTACTGCGCATTTAATGAGGTTTTTCTAGTGAGTTACATTCAAAATTTAATTAAACTACTTTTAATATTATACCAGTTAGTATAACATAAATCATAGCTCATAATCTATATTTTAGTAGAATACAAGTTTTAAGTTCTTAATTTTATAAGGAAATATTTTAAAAATATTGAATTTCACCTAGTGTTAGAACTTTTTTCTCTAGGCATCTCCACTTCTCTAATTTATTCACCACCCCTCCAATATGTACGAAACGTAACGTAAGTTACTCACTATATTATCATAATTGCTAAGACAAAGCATAATTTTCATAGCCTTAAATCTTGTTTGGCTACAGAGCCATCAAATAGAAAACAAGTCCCCTCTTGCCACCCCCTCTTGTTAATAGTTCTCTCTTATGCTTCATATTATTTGTAACAAAAAAAGCCAAGGTTTTCATCTATCAAATGAAGTATTATATTATGTTGTTTTATGTACAGAGAATTGTCAATTTATCTTTCAGTACAAGCTTTGTTCCCACGTGAAACACATCAACTAGCTTGGTTGAATTTGTAATGGCTCTTGTTACATAGTTAGAAAGCCAGAAAAATTGTGAAAGTTATGGGACATTGTCTGGTTTTCATTACATGTTCTTTGGTGCATTATTGAATTAAATAAAAATTATTTTGTGCACTACTACCATTACTGTGAAAAACATAGGGTTAAGTATTACTGACAGTCGACAGCAAAAGGTCCAGGTTTGTGCTATTTCTTGTTTTTCATGTGTATTCTTTATTTATTATTATAAAAGTAACTATAATGTAAAAATAGGAAACTCTTTAGGTTAGATTAGGTAAAATAAATAATAATAATAATAAAAAAAAAAATCTTTTTTCACAAGACATGCATGCAAGCAATTCGGAATAGCTAGTTGGTAATGTAATTCGATAGCTTAACGTGAGCTCCATGTTCCCCAAGTGATTTACAACTCATAATAGCATAAATATTAGTTAGACACAGTTCAAAGGAAATAAAACAATAAAATTTAAGTATATATATATATATATATATACTGTTACAAGTTTAAAGATGGAATTTAGAAGTAATTCTAGAAAGAAAAAAAAAAAATAGTAATTTAGATTTATTTCGATTTTTTTTTCTTTGGTGATTATGAGGTTATTCAATTTTACCAACCTTGCATAGATTTAGGGTAGAGAAAATAACAAATAAAATATAAAGTTTTACTGGAAACAAACGTCTGAAATGTATTTAGGGAGTTTTAGAGATTATGCAAATGAAATTTGAGAGTTTTATGATGAAGAAAAGTATTCTTTAATCTTAACATGAAAATCACTTTACACTTGGACTAGTCAAGAAAAAAGACTCACTATATTTATGGACAAATTTTTATTAAAAATACTTCACTAAAAAAACCTGTGTAGGTGAAAGACTTGTAATGTTTACTGAAATTCTGCCAAATTTTGAGAAGTTAGTAATATCAAAACTATAATGACTTTAAAGAAGTATAAAGTGGTCACGTGGTTGGTCAATTCAACCAAGCCTGTGTAGGGAGAGTTAACGTTTACATTATGGCTGTGGCCTAATTTCCATGATTTGGTATTTAGTTTTTCAATGAAACACACTCGTTTTGTTGCCAGTTTGAGATTTTTTGATTTTCATTCGTTATCATTTCGTAATGTTTACTGAAGGTCTGCCAAACTTTGTGAAGATACACATACTATATTAAAAGTTAGTAGGATCAAAACTATAAGGAGTACAAAGTGGTCATGTGGTCAGTCAATTCGACTGAGCCTATGTAAAGAGAGTTAAAAGTGTTGGAAAAAGGTTCATCTATGGTTAGTAATAGGCTTCATACATACAACTCTGGTACTTTGGAGATGTCCTTTAAAATTTGATTGAAATAGTTGTTGAAGATAAAAACCTATCATAACTCACTTACACATACATTCAAGATGATTTTCAGCACAGTAGCTGATAAAAACATTAATTTTACACTAACATAGCTGAATAAATTTGTTACACTATTCTAAATGAACAAAATATATGTAACATGTAAAATCTGAATACTGAGTAGTTATAGTTAAGTATAAAATTAATTTAGTAAAATTGACATCTCAGCTCTTGGTGGCTCTCTCATTTGATACAAATTAAATGTAACAACCCTTCATTTTCAAATATTATAAAGTGATTCACAATAAATATTCATTTATGTGGTGAACATGTATTTAGATGTACTACTTATATACTTATGATGAAGCTCATTTGAAAGCTATCTTTGATTTTAAGGTTAATATATATATATATATACATAAGGTACTTAAATTAAATTCTTGTGAACATTAAAACCTTGCTATTTTCACTTAGAAACAGCATCAACAATAAAAATTACAAAAACAATAATTGTATTTATGAATGTAAAAATCTTTTTTTAATTTGTAAATTTAATAATGTAGGATTTTAATGCACTGGCAACATAATTTAGCAAAAATATTGAAGATATTTCTTTAAATAAACAGTTTTACTCACTGCTATAAAAAAATTCACAGGCAACTATTCGTACCTCATAAAATATTGGATGTCCTCCCATGTCAAAAATATTCACACGCACTTCTTTGTCATCTAGAGTAATTCTAAAGAGAGGAGCTATATTAAAATTAATACCATGTAATTAGTGTATGTGTGGAGCTTAAAATAACCCATAGCAGGTGTGAAAAAACAAACAAACAAAAAAACATATATATTCCCCAAATGCTACAGAGTAATGATTATTGTAGAGTTTAGTTTATGAATTGTGCTTTGGATTAGTTTTATGTTTTGTATGTTTGTTTGTTTTTTAAGACTATCCACAGTTATTTAAAGCTCCATAAAACATGGTATTGCTACGTACTTGTAATGTTTGTTCTATATTTTTTGTACTCTTCAAATACCGGAGTTTTTCTACAAGTAAATAGGTGAAAAGTTATTGTCTGATATAAACATTTATTTTTATTTTATTATAACTGTTAATATCAGATGAAAAATAAACTTACATTAGAATTAATAAAATTAAGCTATATTACATGTAACTAGTATATAGTCCTAGATTCGTTTTTACATTAACTTTTCATAAAAAACAAATGAAAGCCATAAAAATTATTGTTAGCTCCCAACGATGCTTATATTTTAATAACAAAAGTCTTTTTTCTGTTTATATAGGTTACTCATTGTGCATAAAACCAGGTTTGTTTGCTTATGATTCTAGAGCCACATGAAGTTTTCCAGAAATATTCAAATTTTTCAGTACCCAAAGGTCCAGAAATTAAAAAAAAAAAGTCCAATTATTCTTTTTCACAGTGATATGAATGTGAGAAAATAAAAATTTAGTGTGCATACCTTTACAAAGTTTGGTTATCAAAAAATATAAAATATCCTTTAAAATGGCTTTCAAAATAACTTGCATTTGACCATTATTTGCCACTAAGGGAAGCAATAGAGTACAGTAGCAAATGCTGAACTGAGCACTTGCAACACAATCACCTAGTGATCATGACCAGTGAATCTCTCAAAACATTTTATGATATAAACCAGTCCTAGTGCTACTTACATGAAGAAATGAATTCAATATACATCTATTTAGCTGAAGCAGTTACTTGCTTTTAGTTGTAAATATATATTTGTTCTTAAATATATGCCACATAGTGGTGAATGAGAAAAAACATCAAACTACTAATAAAAAAACACCCTCCTCCCATTTATTTCACAAAGCTCAGCTCAAAACTAGTGTCAACTCCAGTATCACTGCTGCTTCTAGCTCTTTCTCACTTATTGTCACCCTTAACAATAATCCATTTTCCAACCTTTTCTAAATCTATTTTATAATGTGTGCAGTATTAGCAATATCCTCATCTGCATATTACTTTTCTGTATAAGATCTAGTTAAACAATAATAATTACAGTGTGTCTTGGGTTGATGTATCACACAAGAATATGTGAAATCCATCCAAACACATTTAAGTGAAAAAGAAAAGCCAAAATTCTTCCTTTGCTCAAACATTAGAAGATATCTCATAAATAAAGCAACTGGGCATTACTCACACTGTACTTTGTTTATTTTAACTTAGTGAATTAGGAGCTAATGCAAGTAATACCAACATGCTTTATCTTGCCGTGTTTATGAGATATTACCCACTGCTTGAACTGAAGCAGAATTATCATTATCATTATTTTGCTAAAATGTTTTTGAATGGATAATGCTTTTTTTTTAAACTGTAATTTTCTTTTTCAGTACTGAGAAATATGTAAGTCCAATCTATACAGATTACTGTAGATATAACAATAGGTAAGAAATCATCAAAACTAAACATAACAATTAAATTTTTAAACTAATATCCAATACAATCTAGCTATGCTATGAAGTTGGATTTTCTTGGATATTGACATATAAAGTAACAGGTTTTTCAGCCTGCCAAACTGCATAAGCAAACTAAACATACCAATTAATGCTAATAAATGTTTGGACTTTACTAAGTACTTTGATTAAAATGTATGCTTCTTGTTATTTTCCCTATGGCCTGTTAACAATTAGTGCTCAACTTCTACTCACATATTTTTCAGAATAAGTTTAACATTTTTCTTAGGTATGTTGTCTATTTTGGAACAGCAATCTTAAAAAATCAAATTTAAAAGAATAATTTAGTAAACAATATAAAACAAATCTTCCATCTTCATTTACTGTCCTGTTTTAAAAACTTAATGCTTTCATACTTTTATGATGTAAATTTTTCATTTAATTATATAATAAACCAGGGGAATCATGCAGCTAAGTTTTCTTGGGAGGTGGGTGAGAAGAAAGAAAACAAAGTACTTTCATTGCCAATGGGAGTTTAATAATAATAATCATACAAATAATAGCAAGTGAGATGCCTTTTACTTCTTATATTATTAAGTTTCTATTGTTATATTGATTAAATTATTAGTTTCCAATACAGAAAGATATTTTGAACATATTTAATCAAATGTTTATATATATTTAGAATCATTGAAATAGTGTGTGGAAAGCATTTGAGGGTATCCATGGTCTATAGGCACGATGCCATCATAGTAAACACTGATAAAATAAAAATCTGACTTACTTGGTTAGGCCATAATCAATCCCTATAGTGGGCTGATATTTTCCTATAAATCTTTTTTCACAATATCGTTTAATTAAGCAACTCTGAAAAACAGAACAAGAAATGCTATCAAAATTACAGTATGACTTTTTATCATCATACTTAGATATTGAAATTCAGATCTTGATAAGATAAACAGATATATTTGTGAAAACTGAAAATATCATTAAAGCAAGCACAAAAACCTCATAAAGTAACTTGTTGCAGATGAAATGACCTTTAATATTGGTTTTGTTAAGATAAGTATGGTTAATGGATTAATGGATCAACAATGATTACAGCTTAGATTAGTGAGATCTGATAATCAATTATTCATCAGAATCATTAGTTGTTTACCCCTAACTAACGATTACTCTCACAAGACTTGGATAGATGGAATCATCTCAAACAGTAATAATCAGAAATACTTATTTCAATTAGTTGATTATTTTCTTGAGTCATAATATAATTAATTAGCTGAACAACCACAAATTAATCAAAAATAATTATGAAGAATCGTAATGGCAATATTTTGATTACTTAAATAATCCAAACACTTGAAAAACAGTAATAACCAGAAATACTAATTTCAATTTGTTACTTATTTTTATGATATTAACTGATGTAATTGTAATTCTGACTAATCAGATATCTTATGTGACACTATTCAATGTAATCAATGCTAATAGTTAATTGATTATACTGATTACTCAAGGTAATCACCAGGATGTAATAAAGATACTTAAACTGCATCACTAATGAACACTTGTATGAAAAATACAACTTTGAAACCAAATTTATTCCCAGGAATAAAATGTAAAAATGTTGTTTAAGTTATATGGTTTTAGTATTTTAAATGTAAATTGATTACTTTCCCTGGCTTAGCTATAAAGGGTTAAGCAAATAGTACACAAACAATTACCTTACTGCTCATTGCTGGCTACTAGCAGTCAGTATATCAGTTGTAAGAATATTTGGTTACATTACAAAACAAGTTCATTATTTTCTATCTGTTACATCAATTTATTCAAATATGTATTTCTAATCTTACCTTTCCAACTTCGGTGTTCCCCATACTTATTATTTTAATACGTCGAATACGTTTAATCTTGTTTCTTATATCCATGTTTTAGATGTGCTTAAAACAGCAGCAGTTCAAAAGGAAAAGATGCCAGATTTCAATGTCATTCTGCTCTTTAAAAAACACTGTAAGATAAATATATATGTAAGCATACTAAAGACATCTCTTGAAACTAGACAAGCATTCTGTATACTACTTGCTTTCCAAATTGGGACTCACTCAATTAAGATACAACCATTTTGTTTTCACTAAGTGTCAACTAACCAACCCAAGACAAAACTTGATTGATATCATGAGACTGAAACAGAACAAAGTAACTGATACACATAATAATGTTACGTATCTGCTTGTTTGTTAATTTCTGGTATAAATTCTTTGCGAGGAACTTCAGCAATACAAGTCCTTTCTTAATTAAAACTAGTTTATTCTTTCTCGATACAACTTT